AGACTTTGGCTTTTAGCAGATGAGAAAGAACACCACAAAACCCTAACTGTTTCTCTCTCTTTATGCTTTATTCATGATGATGTACGTTTCATTTCTTACGCATAGAACACTAACAGGCTTTATAAAAAATGTTTAGGAGGTTGAATAAAAAGATTTGTCGGTACAAAAGGATTAGCGACAGTATACGCACACTCTTGAGACACGGTGATAAGAAAGACGGAAAATGATGGTATCGGAACTGGCAACAGATGAAAAAAGTTCCTGCCCAAGCAGGAAACGTTCGGCCCACGTAGGCCCAACGATGTTTTTTGACTCTATGGAAAATGGCCCAAGAGTGTAAAAATCCTGGTTACGCCCCTGCATCGATAGACAATGTGGATACTTTCAACTATCGAACATTTCGGCACATGTTTAAGCAGTAACTTTTCACAGTATCACTCAACAAGGAAAACAACATTATTTTGAGGCTATGTGCGTAGATGACATAACACCAGAGTAAACCATCCTTTAGGCAAATACATAAAAGATAAGAAGCAGTAAATATTATAAAGAGACTTGCAGCAAGTTCAGCGGAGTAATTATCGGTCCTTTTTCTTGTTATTGTGAGTATTCTAAACCGTTTCGACAATCAATGATAAACTTTTAAAATCATTTCTCTTTTCAATGACATTCTTCGGTGTGTTTCGTTACTGAGAAATCTGGGAGCTACGAACAGCCCCATTTTAGTCACTAGTGTGGCGACATCTCGCAAACCATTACGATGGAGGCAAACAAAAAATTTTCTCACAATTCTTTCACAAGATCAGCAGAAATTTTCGTTCAATATCAAACAAAGATTCTAAAATCAGAAAAAATTCCCAATATCATGGGGAAAAAAATAAAGCTGGTAAAATTAAATATTTGTATAAGTCACTTATCGACGAAGAAGAAGAATTATGATCGAGCATTAATTTACCATAATAAGTCACTTAGTTCGTGGTCATTTTAAAATGAAAAACTCACGGCTTTTTTTAGTTTTCGGGTCTCAGAATATCATTCAGAGCCGGGAAATATCTCATTTTGATCAGAAATGTTTGCAATATTTTCTGGTGTTATTGAAAAAAAACTTTCTGATTTGCCTTTTGGTCGGAAAGTAAAACGTTTCCGAATGCCAGCTTTCCAAGGTTTTCAGAAAACTTTTCTGAAAACTCCATAACCCTTCGATGAGGACCAAATAACATTGGATTCTATTAGTAGATACCGTGGGCTATCTGATAATGTGCTTACCTCAATATCGACTTTTTATGGAAAAAATTATGTTTCTGACGGGGAGGACCTTAAAAAATAAAAGTTTTATCTTCAAAATAACATTATTAATGGAAAACGACTACGTAACCGATAAGAGTGATGTCAAGTCCCACAATCCTCTGGAAATTCTAGAATTCAGCAGAATTCACGCAGCCGGTTCTCGCTATTATGTCGCCTCCCCTCCACACACACGCCATCTAATCGATCATACTAGAATTCCACCAGAACTCGACCAGAATCTGCACCAACTCTGCTGCAATTCTGGTCAGATTCTAGTAAAATTAGAATTCGAATTCTGCCAGAATCCAAGGTAATATATATAAATCTGTTGAATTTGTGCAGTTTTGTCAATTCTAGGAATTTTCGTAGCTGGAACTTGACACTGTTATAATAACGTTTGCTTCGTTTTAAATCATCAGTTTTTATTCTTGCTACTTCAAGATTGCAAATTATCTGTCTCAGGAATTGCAAATCGTCTGTCTCAGGAAATTCTTTCCAGATACGAGTCCAGATGTCCACTATATCTGTCGTGGGAAATTTAAGATTGATTGTTTCTTTATACTTTAGTGTACCAAAATATTCCCCCTTGGCTCTTTAAAAATCGCTTCTATAGCTAGTGCTGATCGCTAGTGATTAGTTTTGTACCGTTCCAAATATCGGTTTTATGGCGTCTATCGAAGAAAAAGTAAATATCACTATCTTTTTTTGTAGCAGCACTAACTCTTATTTTTGGTGGATTTGCGGCTTACATATTTCTCTACCAGATAGATTGTTTGGTTAGGTTACCTTAAGCTTTTACAAAAGATTGTTAGAATTATTTCATATATACAACAGCAGGTATATTAAATCTCATTTTGTGGAACTCCCTCATCATCTTCGAAGAAGAGAGAGTAACAGTTTTAAACCCAAAACTCGCTGTTTTTATGGTAAAATTGTTTTACACGATCTTACGGTGACCATTACGCCATGTTAAAGTGACCTTACACCATCTTAAATTTATACACATCTTTTAGAGATATTGAGTTGAGATTAGATGTGTATGTACACCATCTGAAGATGTCTTTACATGATTTTACAATGCTTTTACGCGATGTTATTTCGATCTTTGCTTGATATTCACCACACGATATCTTAGTGCGATTATTCAGCAATGGTTTATCTTATACTATGCCAGCGAATCTGTTTGAGAGTTTAGTTGTGATACTGTCGGTCATGACTTAGAACGATTAGGCGTTCATATGCAAAGAGATAAAAACAATTTACAATGTCCGAAATTAAAAATATAAAAGAACCCGTAAAAAGTAACTGTTTCTACGAAAAGTGTAAAATGAAATAAGTACGGCATTAACAACAATATAAAAAAGAATAATTATGAATCCATAAATCGAAAAACCAAGCTTTAATTTCGATGATTTCGTCATAGTAAGAGATTTGGCGACTCGAAAATATCTTAAAATCAGGTTTTTTGGGTATACAAACTGTAACTCCATGTTCTTTGAAGATACTGAGAAAAAGCCAAAAAAATACTTTTCTGTCGATAAACTGTAGTACACAGGCGAAACAAAAAGTCTACGTTGCTAAGGCTGGCGAATATCAATAGTCTTTATAAAACTTTTCACTTTTAGACTAACTAATTTTATTTCTAACAATTTAACCTATTTTTTTATTATATATCATGAGTAAGAAAAATAAGAAGTTTAAACAAGTTTTAATAGGGTTTGGTCCTTCTTTAAGATAAATACTCTACCCTCTTAATATAAATACACCATCCTGCTAAGGACAATATTTAAGCAAATTTATCTTAAAAACAGCGGATTTGAGTATAAAACTGTTACTCCCTCTTCGAGAGATAAATAAATCCCAAATATAAATGTTTGGTTAGAAATAAAAAAAATCATCCATGTCCTGTAACTTTCATTAGTATATTAAACTTTTACTTCAGTTTAGAACCAATTTTTTTTGTTTTTAAAAGTAGACGTCTCAGTAATGGGACTTCCACCTTTCAGCATCTTGACGTGCTACCCTGCCAAGCTTTTTATTTCTATATTGGACTACCAATTCTCAAAAATCCAGACGAAGCATCTTATGCTGCCATAAAAGTCTTGAAATTTTCATCCTTAAAAAGATTTTTCGGGACGTTAAAGCACACATAGTCTGATTCAGCTCGAGGAGCTGTATCCGACCAAGTATAAATATCAGAAAAATAAATTTTGCTGGAATTTTAAATTTCTGCCGCTTTAATTTTGCCGGAAAAATTCTAAACGATTTTAAAAACATCAGATTTGTTCATTGTCAATAAGGCTGACCAAAACAGTCTTTCGGTCGATGAAAAACAATCACCTTTTAACAAAGGGCGTAGAGAGAAGAAATGGACAAAAGAAATGCATACGCTTTATTTTTACTTTTCTCTCTCTAAGGGTACAGTTATTAAAACCAACAATAAAGAGCTTATAACGTTATAGTTACAGGTAACTTACTGCCATTTCTCCTATTGACATTCAAAGTTAAACGAAAAATGTTTTTAATTCTGTCGCTACCTTTTTTTCTTCTATGCTCACTATGTAAGTGTCAACAGGAGGTTATTATTGAAAATCAGACTTTCACAGCTTATTATTGCGATTCGAAATATGAGCCGTGTGGTTGTTCAAAGAATCCGGCAGTGTTAAGTCGCATTGTTGGAGGAGAGAATGCTGACGCCGACACCTGGGGTTGGATTGTTCAGCTCAGTTTGCCGAACGATGGACTATGTGGCGGTACAATTTTGTCAGATTCCTGGATAGTCACAGCTGCCCATTGTACCTATGGTTCATCGGCGTCAGATATTAACATTACTGCCGCAAGTTTGCTGTTGACACAGACAGACGGTGTTCAGATAAGAACATTATCAGCTATTTATCAACATCCAGATTATGATAATGAAACAGTGCAGAATGATATTTCACTACTAAAACTGTCTAGTCCACTTAATATGACAAGTTCTGCTTTGGCAAAAATTTGTTTGCCGAAAATGACAAGCACTTGTTACCCGCCAGATGGGTTAACATTGGTTGCCATCGGTTGGGGAAGACTCAGCTCGGCCTCAACATACCCGGCCTCGAATGAATTGCAACAAGTAACTCTCATTTCAGTTCCGTATGCAGATTCACGCTGCAGAAGCACTGTATCAGATACAACCACACAATTGTGTGCAGCTGCACCAGGAAAAGGTTCGAGTGTTTAGAGATTCGTTTGACCATACATAGTGTTAAATCTTTTTTCTTTTTTTCTTTTAAAGATACCTGTCAAGGTGACAGCGGCGGACCGTTGATGTTCTTTTCCAACAGTCGATGGGAATTGGTTGGCATTGTTAGCTACGGTATAGGGAGCTGTGCAAATGCAAGTTTTGCTGGCGTTTATACTCGTGTTTCTGCCTATTTGTCGTGGATAAATGTGACAATGAATGGCAATGTATCAAAAGCTGCAACATTGTTTCAAAATTACGAACTTATTGTCCATGGTGAGATTTTGTTTGTTTCACTTTTGTTTATTATTTCAAAAGCATTTCACGACTTTTAATCAACAATTTTCGTACCTGTATCTTTCCAGTTGACTAATTTTTCTGTGCTGTTGTTTATTTACTAATGCTTCTATTCAAATTTTATAACAGCTTTCACCATCGGTGCATTATTTTCAAATTATTGTGACTGTTCAGTCAACTTTCGCTGTAAAAAAATTGAAATTGTAATTACGACAATTCGAACACTTTCAAGGGAAAAACTATAAATGAATTACACTGATTCACCACTTCTTGGTATGGCTGATTCTAGGTTGTTCTGCACTTGTGCCTATTCCCCACAATCAGATAGTAACACATGCAGAATGGCTTTCAGCAGTCAGTGTGAACATAACTTGATGTAGGATACATATCGGAACTCCGTATGGAGTCAAAATTCTGAGTCCAGTCTAGTCCAGTCCGAGTGCATGAAAGCAGCCTTTTCAATCCATGGTCTCTAAAACAGTAGTCCAGTCCACAATACAAAAACAACATATTTTCTACGAATTATTTCTCGATTTGAATCCAACGCTTTTTTTTCATGTTCAGACCAGTCCATGGTCTTGAAAGTTTGAGCCCAGTGCAGTCCAAGTCCATGAACTGAATTTCTACCTGACGAGGTAGAAAAATAGATCAAAGCTTTTTGAGTATAAAACTTCATCTCCTTTGACGATACTGAAGTTTCACAAAAGTTACTTCGCAGGAGATTTGCATTTCAAATAGAGAAGTCTAACATATTCGCCAAGCTATCATTTATTATTATTCACAATCGAAGCACGTCTGATGAAACTACTCACGAGAATTAATAGCCAGGATTTGCTTTTCATATTGAAACAAAAAGTCGATGAATAGGATAGGACATAACAGGAATTAAATATCGAACAATTTTTCTTTACAAAAATTCAACCAAAATAATCACCTCATTTATGATGATCGACTTTTTTGCATTTGTTGTCCATAACCGTCAGCCATAATATAGTCATACTAAAGATACGTCAAAAGTGCTACAAATGAATTGATCAAACCGACATTCTTCAAAGTTTTATTCTAATGAATATAATAAGACCAAGTCAGAAAAGTTGTACATGTGCAAGGCGTGTAAACTTTGTTTGAAATTTGTAGAATCCTCATAGTATGTATAAAATTTTAAAATATGTGATTAGTTATACACTAAAGGGGATGTTCTCATTAGATATTTTTTCTTTTAAAGACAAAAATATTTTCGATTCTCTACTGAATGGTATGTTAAGCGAAAAAATCAGACTTTAATCGGCAGCACAAAAATTTAAGAATCATTCTATTTTTTAAGTAAACGTAGAGGGTACCTTTAATCAAAAATTAATTTGTCAGCCCAGACAGCTACTCTCGATCTAAAAATATGATGTCAGTCGAAAAGTGAACGGGGAACCGAATCAGATTACTTTCAGCAAAATATATTTTAGATCAGGTTTTCAATAACCCAAAAGTGGTGCACACTTTCGTAGTTTTGTGAGAGAATGATGTTTTTCTTTATTAGCAGAAGAAAAACTAAATGAATAATTTCCTTCCAGAAAGAAGGAAAAAAAAAGTATACAATCATTTAGTACTCACAACGACCCCAACAAGTGATTAACTGAACAACAAAAATAATTTTCTTTTTTACTTACCTGTATGTACAGGAATAGAGACACTGTTAATGTAATGGCATCAATTATTTTGTCAACTCAAAAACGATTAAAACTTTATATTAAATATAATAATTTAACGCTCATAGCCTTACACAGATGAGTTGTTGGGCGGTTCACTCTTTACCTACTTTTTTTCCTAAATACTCTGAAAGAAGTCATAGTTCTTGTATGGTTTTATTGAATTAATTATGATTCTTTCATAATTCTTAAAAACAAAGTCAGACTACTGCCAAAAACTTCACAGTAAATGAGTAGACGATTAGCTGTAGAACATCGTTTTTTTCACAAAAGTATATAAAGACACGGCTGTGTATGCAGCCGACTGCCCTCAGTCAAGGAAACTGTACTAGCACATGATGATTGAATAAGCAGTGCTTGCAACTGTAGCAATACAAGTGAATAAATACTGAGGCGAATCTTAGCAAATACGTGGAATTACACAATGCCGTACGGCAAATTGATGATTATGGTCGGTACCCTTTCGGGAAGGACAACCCAAAACACAGTTTCTAAAACTGTTACCAGGTTTATCAGTTTTCTATCAAACTAATGCATTATGAGTAAAGATCTGCACTGGCTGTCCGCGGCCACAAAGCACAGCAGCCTGTACAGATCTTTAACTGTGAGTGAAAAATAAGGTTTTAACAAAGGCCGGGGGTCGATTTTTCCATTTCCCGTTGCCAGAGAGTCAGCCAGCGTATTTCTGAAGACTCTCTGCTCTAAGTGAAACCATACACTTCACTGCTATTAGTTAAAAAATGACAGACTAAACTTTTATATGGTCATATACTTAATGGAATACAGATTCACAAAATTTTAATTCTTTTATGTACTTAAGAGCTAGGTTGCACCTCAGTTTATATATATTTCGACAGGGTAGGCAATTTTGTACAAGATGGCCGATTTATTTTTACAATTTGTTTTGAATCCAATTTTTTTTTATAGAGCAGAAGCAAACCGACTAGGAAAAATGCAACATACTCTCAATTTCTGACACTATTAGAGAAAGAAGTACATTTTGTGTCATATACCTGTATAGCTAAAATAAACATAAAAATAAAGAGAGTATTCTGTTCACACTCATTAGGCAAAGATATAGATATGGATGAATATCGTTCTCTTTCCTTTCTCTTCCGCTGATTTTGCTGAATGAAAGAACTCAGATAAAGATATATTTACAGAATAGAACAAATTTTTATTTTTCAAGGAGAAGAGTTCGTCCAAAGAAAGTCAAATTAGCTTTAAAAAAGGACTGAATACTAGTGAATGTAATCTAGCAAGTTTTTTTGCTCTTGAACTGTTGTTCTCTTATTAAATATATCTTTTTACTGAGAAAATTATTAATTAATTCTGACAAATTAATTACCAAATCTAGTTCTACCTTTTTACCAAAAAGGGATAATCAACGGCTGCCATTTATAATTTGTCAAACTGACAAAACAAACCCTAGATCGACTGGAAATTTGAGAAGGACACTGCCGGTTTTTGCGAAAGTTTGACTAAGAGAAAAGTAAGCCCATGGCTAACTGTAGGATTACTTGACGCATTTTAGTGTGCTACTATTTTATTAAAATTACATTTTATCGAAAAGAAAATTAACATTTTCTTAGTAAGATCTCAATATGGGATGAATTAGAATAAAAAGCGTATAGTTCCAAAACTTTAATAGACTTCAAAACTCTGTTTTCACAAAAAAAAAAAAAAAATGTCCATTTAATTCTGCATTAATTAGTCTAAACTGATTAAAAATATCGATTATTCTTGTTGAACAAATATACAAGATAAGACTTGAAAATGCGACATGTGAAAATTTTTGAGAAGATTAAATTTACAATACCTCAGTCGCCTAGCTTTGTTTCAAGGCCAAACTTGCATAAAAATATCGTCATATATTCAATCACATTTCGTACAAATGAAGTCGAAAGCAATTGTGTTCTTATGGAATAATACGTTTTTAATTATGACACACGTCATGATTTTTCGATGTACTCTTAATACAGGATTTCAACAAGTTTATTATTTTTACTTGAGCGTTAAGTATAAAATTCAATTATTAAATATTATGTTAACAAGACATTTCACCATGTCTATGACTACAGAAAACAAGATTTTGTTATGAAACCACGAGAAAAAAGGTTATTGTTTTTCTATTATTTTGTACTATTTTGACTTTGGTTTGATATAAGTCTAATAATATTTAGACATGTTTGTTTCAACTTTTCTAAATTGATTTTATGTGTATATGTTAAGTAATATCATTCATCTTATTTAAATAACACTTAAAGCAAATCAAATATCATTCATAGAACTGAAGAGTATATTGTAAAAAGAATACTGAGAACGAAGGAAAGAGGAAAATAATTCTTTAAAAGGAGGACATACGATAGTTATGTAAAAATCTTCTGTCTTAATGACACGACCTTGATAATATATTTATGTACTGAATGTAAAAAATAGAAAAAATATTCAGACATGTTTGTCTCAACTTTTCTAAATTGATTTTATATGTATGTGCCAAGTAATATCATTTATAGAAAAAGAATACTGAGAACGAAGGAAAGAGGAAAATAATTTTTTAAAAAGAAGAAAGTAAAAACATACGATAGTTATGTAAACATCTTCTGTCTTAGTGACAAGACCTTGATAATATATATATATGTAATGAATGTAAAACTGGAAAGAAATGGATTTTTTTGGCGAATTTCTTTTATGGAGCAGAAGTAAACCGAATAGGAAAAAATGCAACATACTTCCCAACCAAACCGCTTGAAGCTCTCAAAAAATCCTCCCTTTCCTTGATTTACATGTTGATAGCGCTAGAAAAGTAAAAAATTGTTTTCTTGCATATTATTGGGATTTCCAGAGTTTTTTAGAGATCCATGGTAAAAGAATATATTATTTTAGTGTTGTTTTGGTATTCCAATTATTCAATCTAATCTTCTAATCTTATCGTGAGGACTTCCAAGAGGTTTGGTTGGGTTTTGAGGAAGACTGGAGTATTTACTTTTGTATAGTTATACCTGATATGGTGGATCTTCCTTAAAACTCAGATAATATTCTCTTGATTTTTATGTTTATTTTAGCTATTGCACGAAAACTTTTCTTTTCACAATGTTTTAATACTTTTTTATAGAATTTTCACTTTATCTATACTGTAGTACAGGCGGACAATAACTTCGGGTAGTTTTCAATAGGGCTGTAACAGTTACCGCTATCATCGTTACTCGGTAACTGTAACTGCTGAATAATTACTGTTCTTAGTAACGATAACAGATGATCAGTTACCATTAGAAGTAACTGTTCAGTATATCTGACTGGCTTGAATCCTTTCATCGTTGTATCCACTACATACATAAAAAACAGCTGATGAAAGATTTAATAAAATATTTTTACTGTATTTTTTAACTGTTTGCTTGTTTTAATCCATATATCAGCATCTTCACAACACAAAATGGCGTAAAGTCCTTACGCGATTGACGATGGTATACACCATCTAAAGAATGGCTTTACATGATTTTACAGTGCTTTTACTCAATCTTATTTCGATCTTTGCTTTATGTTTACCCTCTATGGGTTTTGATTGTATGTTAAATCTGTCTTTAGTTGGTAATGCCTTTGCGTTTATGTTTCAGTTACATGAGGTTACATGAGGATACATTTTTTTCTCCTAATACATTTACTGGAGGACTCTACTGTGTAGCCATAGACTCCATTAACTTTTTCGCTCTCAGATGGTGCATATTCCAGATTATCATGAGAGAAAGTTTACTTTGAAATAGAAAGATAGGTCCGAAAATAAGTCACGCAGATCGAGTATGACGCGATCAAAAATAAAAGTAGCTGCAGAAGTTATTGTGTAAACAAAAAGTATCAGCTGCGCAGATGATGTTAAAGAGTTTAAAAAGAAG